GGCAAAAGATAGAGTGAGACTGTTGTTGCCCTTAACACCAGCAGGTGTGACAGGCATTAATGATGTATTCACTTTTCACACACAAATGAACACAAATACATCACAATTATCAGCAAATCACATGGAAAATTTTGTCCAAATATTTTCAAATACGAGGAAAGTATTACTTTTGTGTATGTAGGGATATTATACAAATGCACGCAACTGCAATTATCTTGATTGATTTGAAGAGGTGTTACCTAACTTTGACTCACTATGTTGGTTTCCCTAATGTTTCAGTGATGAATGTTATGTACACCTCCAGTTATAAATTGAACATAACCCCCTGACTGTGCTCTGTGGTGATGGCCATGTACTTCAAATCATATGACCACAGGGGTTCCAGACACACTTATAATACCTGGGATTTGGTTAATTTATTACCCATATAGCACATAATAGAAAAAAAAGCATTATATCTGTCCTTTTCACCTTGCTTTTTTTTCAGTTTACAAATCAATATGCTTCCAGCACTAGTTTATCCCATCCCTTTACCCCACCCAAACCATGTTACTCTTAACCCCACCCAAACCATGTCACTGTCTCTTACATGACAGGATACATTTATTACATGTATACTAGTACATAGGTTCTTTTAATTACACCCACCCAAACAAACCATATGTTTAAACACACACACACACACACACACACACACACACACACACACACACACACACACACACACACACACACACACACACACACACACACACACACACAGTCTTACCCAAACACATGTACACATATACAGTAACAAACTACGCACCCCCCCCCCAAAAAAAAAAAAAAAAATTTGTTTGCAGTGGAAGATTTAAATCAATTCTCACATTAGGGCATCCAGTTATAATTATCAAAGTCTAAAGCTTTATGTTTTGCCACTGAAAAACAACATTTCCATCTTTCCTGCTACATCTTGTATAAAATTACAACATTCAAACACTTCTTTTACTTCATCAATTTATATTCAAGTTACTTATTGACCTTAGTTGCTGTTTATCCTCTTTTTGTTCACTGATAAACAACAGTGCATTGACACGGCAGATACCAGGCACTACAGTTGAACTGACAGTGACCATTGCATGTAATAGTACTCATCAGACCAGTATGTCAGGACCATAGTGACACTGGGGTTAACCAGATTCACTGGTCACCTGAGGCAAAATAAGAGATTATCACTCCCTTAAATCCTGCTTATCTGATCAAGAGAGGGAATTACACCATTTTTTAAGGGCATTGCTCACAAAAAATAAATTAATGACTATAATAAATTTCTGCATGTTGATATGCATAAAACACCCTCTGGGTTGTTTTTCAAGGGAGAATGCAGAATTTCCTCACCAGTTATTTACATAAAGGGTTTTGAAGAGCATCTCTGTCAGGAAGAGGTTAGGACAAATCTTCAAAGTCATTAATGATGCATTTCTCTTCCATTTTTAAAACATTTATGAGCGCATTCAGAACAGCAGATCTAATATGGCCGACCGGGGGCGTCTCGATAGTCCGAAGGTTCATTGGTCCGAAGGTTCATTGGTCCGAAAAGTGGTAACATTTTTATCGATTTTTTAATCAGGGGTTCATTGGTCCGAAGGTTCTATAGTGAACATTCGGACCAATGAACCTTCGGACTATTGAACCTTCGGACTATCGCTACGGCCCCGGCCGACCCACTTGAATGCTTGTTGCGTAATTCCTGCAAAGAATCTATCCAATGTCTAATCTAATTGTCTAAGCAGCAAGCTTTTCAGTGGGTGATCATGTTTGATCTGTCGATTTGTTAGTCGGCTGTTCTGAAAGTGCTCTTACTGAACCAGTAGAACTGATTTACCTTTACAGAGTTTAAATATTGTCCTTTGCATTCAATTAGACAGTCACAGCATGATTTCATACTTTTAATGGTATATTTCATCCAGTGAAATATATTTGTGCCAATATATGTGGCATGTTATCCCCTTGTCTTTACCTGCACCTAAAGCAGTATTGACATGTACCACTACCTCCACCATCTATATGGTCTTATCACATTTGTACACCCAGAGAAGAGTTCATATGTATCACTCCTTCAGCCATCTTTACCTTCTGCTTACATCTGTACACTTAGAAAGGACTTCATATATAACCCCTCCCAGCCTCCCCCCCTTACACACACACATATTGTCTCCTATTGTCTGCACTGTCCACTTACACCTGTAAACCCAGAGAATCCCCCCCTTCTTAACACTATACACTCATTATGTAATGTCTTTGCTTATCTGTCTGGCAAACAAATCAGTGGTCAGGAGGGGGTTTCCCAAAAAAGTGGACAGTAGAGCAAGCAATTAAGGTTGGGACAATTAACTGTCTTGATTGCTATCACAGGGATTTGGCAGGGACTTGTCAAATGCCAGTGCCTAAGTAGTTTCATAAATAGTGACCAACCCTGTAATTATTGCTGGAATTTCAGCACGTTCTTACTTACTTCTGAATACCTAGAGAAGGCTTCATGGATCAAAGTTAATCAAGTTTAACAGTATATCCTCCTCCATTTATCCAAAGCATATATTTTTAGCCAAGCTATGAAAAATTTCATTAACACCAATAGAAGACGCCAACACTTTACTACTGTATCAATACATAAAACATAGAAAACGCCTACATTCTACAAAAAACACCTGCTAGCCTATATAAAGTTGTAGCTTTAAAAGTACAACCAACAATATCATACACATTACTGGCACATCAAATTGATAGAATAGGAAATATTGATATTGTCAAAATATTGAAGCTCCATAGTAATATACTGGTAGGTTCTATATAGTTTCATTTATTTATTTATTTACTTATTTATTCATTTACTTATTTCTTTTTTCAAGTACTGTGCATGCTCTCTTTATGATGCACTACCTGTACCTATGATAAAATACTTCTACAGGAGGGTGAAAGAACGCAGGCATCTAAACCTGGGGTTCCTCTGACACTATGGGCCAGATGATGAATTGATAATTGCATAGTTGCACTCCTTAAACTTCATTTGCTGCAAACTGACCATGGCTGATAGATTCGAATTTTCTTTGATAATAATAATCCCAAAAAATTGGTTCTGACCAATTTAATTCTGACATTTTAATTTGAGTTCACTGACTGAAAGTGATACAAGCTAGAGATTGTATTTCTAAATTTCTTTTAGGATCAATAAAGTGAAAAGGCAGCATACAGAGCTGAACATCCTAAACTGATCCTTCCCCAAAACACACCTTGGAGATAACATATACTTGATGATACAGTCACTTCACTTGCTATTTGCCTTCCCAAATTTCACCTAAACTATTTCCTCAGCTGTGGTTTAATACATTCCATGTCAGTTCAATACAGCACATAGACCAGGAGGAAATAAAATCCCAGACTCAAAAAACTACTCAGTCAAATGTGGTGGTCAAGTATCCAGACATGACCAAGAGATGGGGGGGAACTGTTGCAATATAAAAAGGCTATTATAAGTGACTTTTTTATCTTACTTTTAAGGTATGGTAATACAATGCAGTCTAAATATCATTATTATTCTTCTTTGGCCACTACTATGTGAATAGCTTTAAAGATTGAAGAGTGTGGCCATAACTGCTTCATGTATCAATCCTAAAAAATTAACTAGAGAATCTCAGCAAAGGAATATATATATATATATATATATATATATATATATATATATATATATATATAATAAAAAAATCTATGCACTTCAAATATATAAGGGTTCAATGTGTTTACAAAATATGGTCTCAATTTTTGTCTGGTTGTTGTCTGCTTCAAATCATGCACTGGCTGGAAGACATTGACCCTGATCTACAAACACCAGCACAGTTTTAGTTAAATTTTGTATTTTCAATCACCATCAACATGAACCAGCAATTCTAAATGTTTAAACAATGTCAAGTAAAATCTACGTTTGGCAATTCTTGAGGTTGGCAAACAAAATGCAAGGTGTCACTTCTGTTTTAAACATTTTCTTCAACTTCAGCTGCAATGCTATGTGTCCCCTGCTACATTCAATATCAAATTTCTGGCTGTTTATGGATTCAAATTCTAAGTGCTATAGATTCTCGCAAAATGCATTGTAAATTTTCAATACAGTTGTTACATATGAAATAAGCATGCTCCGATGCTCCTCTAAGCATATCTGTGAAAACGAACCAAACGTTTTACAATCTCACGGTAACTTTAAACACCCCTCTTATAGTAAGATTGAAATTAATGGCAAGAGACTTCAGGATACAGTTTACCATATCACCTCCTATGCTCAAAGGAGCATCAGACCATACAAACAGAGTACATAGCAACTGCAAAGAAGACATCAGGAATTAAATGTGTTTATGTTAGCGCCATAACACCCATAATACTTACATTAAAAATAATAAAACTTCCATTACCACCCAAAAGGGAGTATTTAAAGGTAAATGAGATCTGTATTATATTGCCTACTTTGTTGCTAGGTATTAACTGTCCCCTTCAACCCTATGCTTAAGTGGTGCATGTATTTCACATACCTATGGACTAACATATATCCACTTCCAATACACTATTGTATTTCTTTTACAATCACGTAAATATTGGCAAATGTGTAGTGCTCTTTTTAAAAGGAAAATAGACCTCCTGTTTCACTGTGTACAGTTTATTCTATTCTAAACGCTAAATGTTTTTAAAAGTGGAGTACTTCTGAATAACAAACTTTTTCCTTTTAACAAAAGACTAACTTTACACTCCACTGATATATCAATTTCAATGAATATGCCTTCTCAAAAAAATAAGCGAAAATTGGTTGTCTGCTTATTCTGTTTCATGCTCAATTACATTCAATCTAATGTAGTCTACACCTATTATCTATCATTTCAGTTACCATTACTTTAACATTAACATTTGGACTGCTGTACTACGTATCTATACTTCCAGACTATTGCTCACTACATTTAAAACCACCTAAAAAATACCTTCTACATTGCTGCCATCAGGAAACTTAATCAGAATCCTACTGGTCTTTCTGGAGACATAGATTCTAGGTGTATGCTTTTCCTTGGACGCCTCCTCGCCAGTGGTATATTCCTCTACATCAGAATGTGGCATTTTAACTCATGGTTTCTCTCCTATGTTCTGGGTCATATGCATGTCCTGAGGGCCCTAGCATGCATGTGTGTGTGTTTACACATACAAGGCGTCAGATGGCACATGTACTCAAACTTCTCTGCTCTTGGTGCTCCCTCTCTTGGCAAAACTTTCTACACGTTCAGGTACCTGCCTGCTTAGCTAAAAATAACCTCCACAACTCTTTATTAGTTCTGCTCTATGGCTGTTGTCAATCTGCAGTGTTTACAAGTGCTTGCCTCTTCTAGTGTATATAACACTAACCGTGCAATAGTATACCTCAGCTGGAAATGTGCTGTGGTGGGGGACCCCAGAATAAAGTGTCCAAATAGAAAACAGTTAAAAAGTCCCAGCACAGAGACACCTATGAGTTCTTGTATCTGTATGCAACTGCATCCACGTATCCCTGATACTGCTTCCCTCCAAAAGTTAACCCTACACACTATTTGGTCTCCACTCAGGTCATGGGTAACACTATTCCCACATATCTTGGAGTAATTAATAGCAGAGGTCTAGGGGCAATCCTCCATTGACCCCTCAAACCTTCCAGCCTAAGCACGTGGTAACCAAAGCTTGTACCCATTAGTGCAGAAAAACATGATTAATTAATAAACACTTCTATTCAAATCTATGTGAATGGTGCTGTTTACTCTACTTGCCCTAAGATCAGATACTACTGTGCATTAAAAATTCTCCTCTGATCTTCACAGGTCAACAAGTTTAGTCAGTTAACAGGTGATCTTTACTCTGACTTGTATCTTTTAGTAAAAAAATGTTTGTCAATTAACTGAGAGAATTTAGGAATTTTCTTGGTAACCTGTTTTAATAGTGGTCTTGAATCCTAAGAAAGAAGGACATGGAAAATGGGTTTGTTGCTTGAGATGTTACACAGATTCTTTTTTATCATTTGATAATGGTATTATTATTTAGTGTCTCTCATTTTTTTGTTCTGGGGTAAAAAACGGCAACATTGATATATAGATATGAGTAGATAGATAGATAGATAGATAGACTGAGAAAATGACTAAAAATCGCACATGGTTTTTATTATACTTTTAAATAAATAACATCCTTATCAATGTGTCATTTATTCATACAAATTATATAAATGCCCTGCTCTCCCCAACCATTCCCATAAATAACATAAAAAGTTAAAAAAAAAAAAAAAAAAAATATATATATATATATATATATATATATATATATATATATATATATATACAACCGATGAAAGTGTATTAAGTTGAGTTTTTTTCAACCTCCCCACTCCCCCCAACAACATGGTGTGTGTAAAGGTTCAAGCATCATTAGCTTTTTATTGCTCGAACAGAACCTCTCTTTCAAAGTCTCTGGCCTGCATCCAATCTTTTGCAGAACATGTCAAGCATTGCGTCACACCACTCAAATAAGGACTTTTCCAATGGAGGTGGCTTTGTCACACACCCAAAGCATATTTGTTTTATTTTTCACCCTACTGAAAGTCAGATTCAATCTTCCACTACACACATATTAGGACAAGAAAACATAAGCATCAACATAAGTTCATGGATGAATAACCATGGCACCTGGGTTTCATACTGCCAACTGACTCTGGTACAATAAACCACCACAAAAGCACGCGCATTGTATAAGAATGAACATCTATGTTATTGTGTATCTGAATGTCGGGCAGTTGTAATAAATTCCCTAGTACACCCTGAGCTTCAGAGCTGACTTGACACTAACCTTTTCACTGTAGCCTATATCTCCATCGTGTCAAGTAACCTCTGACCAGATTCGAGTGCCCCCGCNGTTAGTGGGTATGCCAGACGAAGGAGTCAATCTTTGTGGTCCATTGATGTGTATCTGGGCATTTATAACAGTAAAGTCAGTTTTTCTGCAGACAGTTCATATCAGGGCTGCCTTACTGTAATATGTGGGGTTTTAACAATAAACTATTATCCGATTTCCCTTGACACAAAAGAAATCAAAACAGTTCTTCTGCTTTTAGAAACTTCACAAAAAACTCATAAGACTTCCCGAATCCTTATCATTGAAAAAATATATTTTGCCTGCTTCACTCTAAGTTTTTTCAGTATAATTATAGATTATCTTATCTTAAACAGAAATTTTGGTGGTAATTTTTTTAGACTCCAGGTACATAATAAATATAAATTGTTGTCTTATTCATATCCAATGGCAGGTCAAGAAGACAGAGTGGGCACATGCCCCCAACATTAGCTTAAGCCCCCTTTACACTAGATGGCGTCTTTTCTGCGTCCAGTTGCACGACCCTCTTTGAGAGTTAAAAAAAAAAACATAATACTTTACATGCCGACAATTGTCCTATCATTGAGCATTCATTTTGCAACCAAAGTGATGCTTGTGCCTCCTTTTTACGACCTCAGCAATGCCAGTTTCATCGCAGCACAAAGGACACAGAAAGGACGCCATCCAGTGTAAAGGGGATTTAAGAAAGTTGGACCTCCACTTTTCTACCAAAAACATGGTGTGACCAGTGAGTGACATGAGATGAAATCAACTTGTTCTTACCATCTCTGTTCCAAAAATATAATAACAAATTGTCCCTGCCACCTCTTCTGCAAGGATGACAAGTGAAGTGAAGCAAAAAAAAAAAAAAAAATGGATCTGCCAATGTGATGGATAACTTCTCATAAGTTAACAGTCTCAGTTTCATTTCAGGGTCATATACAGGGATAAATTACAATTAAATTCACTGACACAGCACTGAGAACAGACGCCTTGAAGAGACACAATAATTTTGTTGATCCTAAAACACATCACCACTTATATGTCATGATACATGTTGAACTGGCAGGTCTAATGATCATTATGCCCCTTTAAAGTAAGAAAAATAACTTTCTGATAATGGCCAAACAGGAAAGCAAAGTATAAAGTTATCTATTAACTCTATCTTATAATTTTTTTCATTATCAAATATGTTTTATTTTGCAATAAAATAACTTAATTTTTTTCCAAAATAAACAGTTCTCTAATATGTTCCCAGTTAAAAACTTGAAGTCTAATTATTTTTATGAATTCTGACAAAGATGGTTTATAAGGCATGAAATGGTAGAATGATCAGGGGCCGTATTCTCAAAACTTTGTAACTTACAACAATTTGTAACTATTTACGTGAATTTGTAACTTTGACTTACACGGTATTCTCAAAACTCTTGTAAGTCTCGGACTTACAAACTCTTGTAACTTAAATTTAAGGTACACTTAATGATGCTCAAGTTTACAATATGACCTTGTAATACAGCCTCACAGCAGAGTAGGACAAACAAGTAATCATTTACATATAAATGTCATAATGGAATAATATATTCACTGTATGATGTATGTTCAGTGCAAGTGATTAAAGTCCTCTTTTGCATGCACAACTTATTTCATTAACATTTATGTCCTGCATACAAATAAAAGAAGTCAACTCCGTAACCTCCTAAAAAATAGCCTTCTAGAAGTTTATCAAAAAAAAAAATTTTCAGCCAAGCTGAAGATATCACACCTGTTAAATCCAAAATATCATTTGCTCCATTTTCTTTTACATTTCAAGTTTAAAAAAAAATCATAAACAATTTTGAATATCCACACAATATATATTGCACCTCAGATTACTGGACAGCAATACGAGGAAGCATCTATGCAGGCACCTAAAATCATCTGCATGGTAAGTACAGCATTTACACTCTCGCTGCAATAGTTCTTAGTTATGAATTACTGCAGCTCAATAGCACGTATACAAAAAGTTGCCCTTTTGTGTATCCTAAGACTGAAGGTTCTCATGTAGTTACTATGAGGTCACATCATCAATCAAGCTGCAGAACACCTACAGCAATTTAGTCATTTCTTGGTTTTAACATCACTTTTCAGCAAGTATACATGGCAAGTGTCTGGTGCCACTGTAAAGTGAATGTTGGAGTGTTAAGAATTAATGACTTAAAAAAACAGTATCTGTAAAATCCACAATTTTCCCCACTGAAAAGATTGAAGAGATTTATCTTAATGAGTCCTCTACTTTACTACAGAATCCCTTCTCCTACTATCTCAACACTTCATTCCCATAACATTTCAACACAATAATTACATCTTAAATATCTTTCATCTGAGAAGCATTCCAAACTCCAACATCTACATAAAAATAACTACAATAAATATTACTATTATCGTTATTGAACACTAAATGCACATTCAGTTTCATTCAAAGGCTTTCTATGCAACAAAATTTTCTCAACATTTACTTCACACATGTAAAGAAGGGGTGCCTGCATGCAGATACTGACTAGATACATGCAAGTCCACAACCAAAATAGCATTTTTCATGGCAAAAAATCATCAAAGGGTTCGAAGTAGGACATGAGCACAGGAAGATAAAATATGGGTAGGTGAAATAGCTATCATTCCAGTAAAATTAGCACATATCTGAGAATATGTGTATGTTAGAGTGCAATATTGAACAAGTTATGAAATTGTCATATGATACATCTTTACATGAAAGGGAGATTGAGAAACTGGTGAAGCCAAAACTAAGGAATTTTACACAGTGTTACAAGCTACAAATCTAAAATTCCTTGTGACATATCCAGTATCAAAAATGTCCTCCTAGTAAGCTGAATTAAGGGTTCTTCCTCTGTGAAATGAAATAAGCAGGCTCTGGAAAACACATTAGCTAAGAGATTATGAATTATTTAATGATGAAGATACTGAACACACACACACAAAAAAATTACCTGTATATTGATCATGTACCATTTGTGGTGGATGATAAAGCAGCCCCATAATGGCCTAACCTTGTTATGGTGTAAATCAAAGTTTGAGATTCCATATATCAAAAAGAATTTTTTATAAATGGGTGACAAGTTTTGTTTATGAGGACTGTAGCATACAAACTGAGGCAAACTCCTTAAATGCAACTAAGTTTGGCTTGCTTTAAGTGATAAAGCTCACCTCTCCTGGGAGAACATTTTTAAATTAGTGTTTACACATTTTGAAATGTTGTTCAGCTGCTATAAATGTTTACATGTGACTACTACAAAGGATATCTGCATTTCAATATACTGAGCTAGGTTTATTCTAAATATAATACCTACAACAGAACACAACCCACTTGTCTAGGGGAAATCTCAACACAACCCCCTTCTCCAGTACACCCCAACACAATGCCCACCTCCTTTGTAACCCATGCACTCTTACTGAGTATTCCAACACAACCCATATTCCCACACATATCCCAACACAGTCTTCCTTTACCATACATTCCAACACGATATGCTTTTACAGAAATAACTCAACACAGTCTTTTCTCACAACCTACTTCTCCCAAACTTCCCACCACAGCCCTCTTCTGCATATCCCAACACAACCCACTTAACTTGCACAACTACAAGCAGAATTGCAACACAGCCCACTTTTCCGGAACATGACAACAATTTATTTTCACAGGCAGAATCCCAACACAACCCACTTTGCCCAAGTATCCTAACACAACCCACTTTTCCCACACATCTCAACACAACCCACTTCTTCTACACATCCCAACACAACCCACTTCTCCCACATATACAAACACAACCCACTTCACCCAAAGATCCCAATTGACACAACCCACTTCTCTGCACATCCAAATGCATTGTAAACCCACTTCTCCCACACATCC